TCATCGCCTAATGCCCTTGAAAAAGTAGTCCCAACTGAATCTGGCTTAAATTTACTCTACAAAAATGCACGAGTACAAAGCAACCAAAATATCCATGCTGGAAAAATGCTTCCATTTTAAGTTCACTGTAATGGAAAGATACACATAGACTGTATCCAAACTTCTTTGATCTTGCTTGAAAATGCATCTTTTCTCTCTTTGTTTTAGTCTTGTGTCCACAGGCATATTTGTTGTGCAAATTAAGCATTTTTTAAAAATGTTTTGTTTGAAGATGTTTTCTGAAGTGGAATATTTTAATAAAGCAGATTTCACTCTGTATTGTGCTGTGAAAATGAAGGCCCTTAAGAAAGAGGACATGATGAATCATGTGCTGGAGTCATATGATTCATTTAGCCTAAAGCAAGATGTTGTTGATTATTAGGTGTATCCCAATTGACACCCTTTACACCAGTGATCTCAATGACACCCCCTCGCCCCCGCCCTGCATATTTTGTATGTCTTCCTTTTTTAACACATCTGATTCAGATTATCAACCTACTAACACAGAAATCCATGAACTGATCCTAGTTTGTCAAACAAGACAAACATACAAAATGTGCAGGAAAAGGGAGGCCTGAGGACCAGTATTGAGAACCACTGGTATACACTACAATGTGCTACAATATATGCACACAAGCCATGCTCCCTATTTAATATACAAGTTCAACACTATTAATTTTGGCCTTTTCTTATTGAAAATTTTAGCATGAACACTTACATTACTTGCCTTTATTCAGTCATTCATTTTCTTTTCGACTTAGTCCCTTTATTAACCAGGGGCCAACTTATCAAGCATGTGTTTTTTACGCAGCAGATGCCCTTCCAGCTGCAACCCATCACTGGGAAACATCCAAACACACTCATTCACACCCATACAGGCAATTTAGTGTACCCAATTCACCTATAGTGCATGTCTTTGGACTTGTGGGGGAAACCGGTGCACCAGGAGGAAACCCACGTGGACACGGGGAGAACATCCAAACTCCAAACAGAAATTCCAACAGACCCAGCCGAGGCTCGAACCAGCGACCTTCTTGCTGTGAGGCGACATCGCTACCCACTGCGCCACCCCTCATTGCACTTACACTAAGGCATATTTTGTGAGCACACAAATTGCAACACTAATGTAAGTTTGTATACTTCATTGTACGTCATTTATTCAGTCAACAATGTTTACTCACAGTTGTTGTAAAGTGATGTAATGCGAGGGCAATTTTATTTATGAACTCTACAATGACGTAAGTGCTTTTACAAGTATCAGTGTGAATAAGCAACTTCCAGATGACATTTTCAAAGATATTCAGATTAGCATAGACAAACTCAAAATCTGAACTTCACAGCTTCTCAGCCATCGGTTTATGTTTCAAGTCTAGCCAGGTTTAGCAAGAGGAATGTGGCAGAAAAATTCCACTGGCCGCTGAACACATGGGCAAGGTATGCTAGTCCCACCAACCCCGCAAAAGACTGCTGAGCAGCCGGATTCCAGCAGGTTTTGGTGGATGTATTATTATATCAGAGCATTGAACTTTCACAACACAGACTCATGCACTATTGTCAAGAAAGCCTCTGCGCCATTCACATTTGATTGGCCGGATTGTGACCAAGCCGACAGGAATCCTTGGATAATATGAAGGGGATCACAGTGGAATGGCATCTCTTCAAGTAAATGAACATGATTAAAGGAGAAAGAATGAAATAAGAACTGAATGATGGGAAACAACGTCATTTGCAATTCATGCATGAATGGAATTAGCAAGCATTTGTTCCTGTTCTATGTTTCCACTGGAACAAAGGAGGACATGCAGTATGTGATGATACTGTGTGTGGTAGTTTTCCAGTTAGTGAGGAGTGATACTGTAACTCATGTTTGTATTGTTGACAGGACATTGACTATGAGGCGGGACATTTGTTGTCCTGCCATGAACTTCAAACATGTGACTATGAAATCAGTTCTTGACCTCTAGGCAATTCCCTCACCACACGCCTCTGTTTTCTGGCAGATAAAAGATGGTTCATTATGGCGTGACAGCCATAAAAGAAAACATAGTAACTTCTTGTTACAATTACCTATAAAACACAGTATGGCCTATGAAGACAGTAAGTAAAGACTAGAATGAATGCAAACTTGGGTTAACCATGCATCCTCTGAGCTCGTAATATAAATAACCCACAGCTGTTTGCTTCTCTAAATACGCATTATCCAGCAATGAGTGCTCATTTACCACACACAAACACACTCAAATGACATCTGCTTCTTAGACAATTAAAGTTAAATGACACTAAACCCTGGTTAAGTATAAAGCAGCTCTTTTAATGAACAACATTTACACAAAGCAATGCTTTACCAAGTGACATGATATCAAAATGAGGCATCAGGGTGCTTGGTTTGATTACAAGACAACTGTCAAAACAGTCCCTGTTTACTTAGACTAAAAATGCCGCATTAGGCATGCCAGACTATAGTTGATGATGTGATTTTGTAAAAAAAAAAAAAAAAAAAAAACACTAGAACTTTGTGCAGTCCTGTACTTTGCCGGTCGTTGTTTTGGCTGTCAAGTACTCGCCTACAAATAAAATAATCCCACTTTATATTAAATGACCTTAAGTACTGTACTTACAATTGAATTAATCATCTGGTATAATGCACATACATGTTTTAAAACTGTACTTATTTTAAAAATGATCTGCATGTAATTACATCTGTAATTAATTTCTTAAATTACCTTTATAATTTCAATGGTGACTATCCTAGACACCTTACCTATACTCCACCTCATTAGCACCATAAATGTACAAGACAATTTAAACCAAGGCTGCACAATATAGTTACAGCATCGATATCGCAATGTGTGCATTCACAATAATCACATCGCATAGTTGCAATGTTGAGTTGGGATTAAATCTGAGCAAGAGCCACAGTTTAGAACAGAAGATTTGTGGAATTACTGCAGAGTTTAACCACAATGGAGTGAAATTGTATCATTTGCATGTTTTTAAGGCCTGAGAGAGATTTAAGTAGTCACCCAGCAGGCACAGGATGTTAACATGACGTCAGATTGACGTTGTACCCGAGCATCATGGGCATTTTGTTTGGAAATCAGGTTGACATCAAAACCCAACATCAGGCCGATGTCAATGTACAACATCAGACAGAACGTTTGGTCCCTTTCCAACGCAACATAAAAACAACCAGATATCAACATCTAATGATGTTACAGCCTGATGTTGTGTGGACGTTATCCCTATGACGTCTATCAGATGTTGGATTTAGGTTGCCATACCTGAAGAATAAATGTCAGTATTTGACGCCAATATGACGCTGGTTTAAGATGTTGGCTTGACGTTGGATTTTGGCTACTTTCCAAAACAACCTAAAATCAATCAAATATCAACGTCATTTCACATCTTTATTGGAATTCAAAGTTAAATTGTCCTTAGAACGCCGGTGACCTAAATCTAACCTTATATTAATGCCTTAAGACGTTTTGTGTCTGCTGGGCAGGCACAAGACATTTTACCAATTGGAAGTTTAGAAAAGAATATTTGTGTTGAATTATTTATACATCAAAAATATTTACATTTACAAGTTTTAAAATTTACAAAACCTCAGCCAACTTAATATTTAAGTTCTTAATATCGAGTTTTTTAAGCAAAAGTCAGAGTTAATGGTTGTCCAATAGCAGGAAGTGAGCCTTAAAATAATAGGTGACTATAAATACTTTCCAAGTAGTGCTATTCAATCATTTGGGACAATTGTATAGATGTATTATATCGCAATATATATATATATATAAATATAAAATATCGCAATGTCAGATTTTTCCAATATCATGCAGCCCTAATTTAAACAATAAATCATTTTTCAAAAATCATGTTTTTATAATCAACATGGACAAAATAATGAAGATGTTTTCAATTTGAAAGTGGTTTTAAAATTTGCATTTTCAGTCTCTCACAAACATTGTTTTCATGTAACTTTTTTTGTTTTCATGTAACTACTGCAAAAATCCAGAATAGGTTTTCCATTCACTCCCTTTCAGCTCAGTGTCTCAACATTTGGTTCAACCATTGGCCAAAGGCAAGAATATTTGTTTAACAACAAATGGCAAATTGGACAAGAGGAATGTTTGGAGAACCTGTTTTTGCAGTTCTGGCCCATCAGATCTTGAGAAAACATCTATCTTACAAATGAACATTTCTCTATGACTTTGTGATTTGCAGAGGACTGTACAGTATTTTAGAAAAAAGTAAGCATGGAGGTTTATTGTTATACTTAACTCCCAGATCAGTAAAACATCACAGAACATATACAATTTTTATTAGATCCTAGCTAAAAAAATTAAGCATTGTGAATGGCAATGTTTCTAAGATGTTTAAATGTCCAATTTTCTTGTTGTGATTAGTGACCTTATTAGTGACCTTGTTTTTAAAGGCACATGTTACACAACTTCTAATCTCCATTGCTCACAATATTTAATTCTTGTTATGTTAAAAAACTTTCAAGAATGTTACCAATTTACAAAATAAAAAACATTAAGAGTGATGAGAAAATTTTTACATTGTCTATCAAGAGAAAGTTGAGAGAAAGTTTATCAAGTTAAACATAAAGATGTACGAATGTTGTCCTAAGAACGTTCTCTCAGCATTATGAGAAAGCAGAACATTAACATCAATAATGTTAAGGTTACTTAAAAAAGTTTTATCTTACCATTTACATAACCATCATAAAACATTCCCTTAGCTATACAAAACCAAATGCTTGTGAAAAGTTGCTGTGTGTTCCTGGACTGAAATTACTCACTTCAACTTTTGTTTTGCTTTAATCCACTGCACGAGTAGCCTTTCACCTTTAAACCAACTGTAAACCATAACAGAGTTGGAATAATTTCATAAACACAAACTGTTAAGCCATAAACACCAACAATAATGATAAAGCTCAGTTTTATGAAAGCATTTTTACACTGTATTTTTTATGGCAACCCTGCCAGTCAAACACTAAAACACCATTAAAGTTCACAAAAGGTATATCATCCTTAAAAGCATAAATATTTGAACCCTATTAAAACCACACCTTCTTTTTAAATCATGTTTGGCTTCAATAAACACATCAGATGCTGGATATAAAACCCAGTAACGTAATGGATTAGGTAACTTTATGATATAAGGTTTACTCAACAATTATCTAACAAACAACTGTTCCCATGAGCATGAAGACTTTAATTTTAGATTTAGAATAAATAATCAAATATTACTCATACTGGTCCCAATATGCTTGGGCGTAGTTGTTCTCCTCGGGGTACAGATGATGCACAGGTTTAGAGCATCTCATCCCAGCGCTGCGGGTTTTAAGGGCACATTCATCACTGTGGGTTTTGCAGGTGCTGCAGTGACAGCTAAGTGCCACTGGGTAGGTGAAGTGAGGATCTGCATGTGAAGGGCATCCCGGCAAGACGGCTGTCCGGTACTCAACTTCCTGATAAGTGCATCCCCTCTGAACAATAAAACGAGGACCCACCAACTCCTTTATGTTACTGTCCTGTGAAATGAATGTTTGGTGCATATTTAGCCATATTATGACTAAGTAATTCTGAAAGCATTTGATCTATAGCACTTTTGTTTTTCTGTGGAACCCAAAATGAAATGATATCCACTATTTTCCTATGCCTCATGATGCTTTGTATTGATTATGAAAGTAGTTTCTGATATATTGTAAACAATCAGTGATAAGTGTAGGAAAATAGGGAAAAATAGGGAACAATGAGGTGTCATTAATCTCTTCACAGTTCATTAAATATTAAAAGGCAACTTGAAATCCCATAAAGAAATTTGATATATAAAAATATACACCAATTACATATGAGATATTTGGATGTCACATGTATAAACTGTCATACTGTATATGCAACTAATATTTCAATATATGCAAAAATGGCCATTTATCAACCATTAGAATGAACGTATGGTCACTCTTTACAACAAGGTTCCATTAGTTAATGTATTTACTAACATAACTTAATAATGAACAATACTTGTACAGCATTAATCAATCATAGTTCAACATGTACTAATGCATTGTTACCATTCTAATTCATGCTTGTAAACATTAGTTATTGCACCATGAGTTTACATGAACTAACAATAAACAACTGTATTTTAACTAACATTAAGTAACATTAACAAATACTGTAATGAATGTATTGTTCATTGTTTGTTCTTGTTAGTAAATGCATTAACTAATACAACCTTATTGTAAAGCGTTACTGAAAATATAGATGAAGAAACAAACAAATAAATTATAGATAATATAGTTGAACACGGCGACGCAGTGGCGCAGTAGGTAGCGATGTCGCCTCACAGCAAGAACGTCATTGGTTCGAGCCTCAGCTGGGTCAACTGGAATTTTTGTGTGGAGTTTGAGTGTTCTCCCTGCTTTCACATGGGTTTCCTCCGGGTGCTCTGGTTTCCCCCACAGTCCAAAGACATGCGGTACAGGTGAATTGAGGTAGGCTAAATTGTCCGTAGTGTATGAGTGTGAATTAGTGTTTATGGATGCTTCCCAGACATTGCAGCTGGAAGGGCATCTGTTGCGTAAACGTGTTGGATAAGTTGGAGGTTCATTCCGCTGTGGCGACCCTGGATTAATAAAGGGACTAAGGCGAAAAGAAAATGAATGAATATTTGACAACACATATGCACATATTTGTAATTCCAGTGGTTGAAACAAATATAAATGGCAATTTTTGCTATATTTTTAAATACAGTATATGTTGCATTTGTGACATTTTCAATTTACTAGAACTTCTATGTTAAGTGTTTTGACAATCTACATTGTAAAAGTGCTATAGAAATAAACATGAATTGAAAATAAAAAACCATTGTCTAGACAAGCTAAGTGTCTTTTTTTTAGAAATAATATGTCAAATTAAGTGAGTTTTTCCTAAAAACAAGATAAAAAAATCATCCAATGGGTAAAGTAAAATGAACTAGTTTTTGTTTTATAATATCTTTAACTCTTAGGTACCTATTGAAACAGTACCACCTCACCGACAGCTTGTTTATACCTTTATTCCTGAGAGTGTACAATGGAAATACCATTACATCTGATTGTATTCTACAGAATAAGGGTGAGTAAACAATAACAGAATTATCTAGTGCGTAAATCAGCTTATCGCACTGCAAGAAGAAACTTGTGTGCTATTGGACCCTGTTGTCTATATATAGCGTCTTCTTCACATACACTAAGCTGTGTCCACTTACCCTGGAGAAACAGAAGCCCATGCAGATGGTGGTGTTGACAGCCACACAGTAATTGCACTCCTGTCTCTCAATGTAGATGGTGTAGTCAGTGGGGGCACACATAGGCACGGCAACCTTCATTAAAAGTCCCAGCATGCCAATAACATACAGGAGAGACATGATAGGTGGCAGTGTATGAGGATGTCTGTCTGTTTTTGGGAAACCACAGTGAATGTAATGACAAATATACACAACTAGACACAGTAGCAACACAACTGAAAAGTCATCTTTTATTACATTTAATATTTTTGGTAAACAGCCAAAGTTACTTGGCATAAACATGTTACACCTGCAGCCAATTTGATGTTCAGAGTTGTTAAATAGGTATAAATGAGGGCTTTAGGCGTACTTGAGCCATTTATAACAAACCTGTGAGTTAAATAACAGCCTGTCACACAGCATGTTACAGCATAAGATCAAATTAGTATGATCAAATCAATTGTATTGTGAATAATAAATCTAAATACCTACAGCTGAATTCTAAATACCAAAATATTCATTTCAAAAACTTATTTTTATATGGTATCACAATCAAATGTGAAGTAATGAATGCCATTTTCTATTGATATGTTTTCCACAAACTTCTCTGTAGATTATATATATATACAGTTGAAGTCAGAATTATTAGCCCCCCTTTGATTTTTTTTCTTTTTAAAATATTTCCCAAATTATGTTGAACAGAGCAAAGATATTTTCACAGTATGCCTGATAATATTTATTCTTCTGGAGAAAGTCTTATTTGTTTTATTTCGGCTCGAATAAAAGTAGTTTTTAATTTAAAAAAAAAAAACATTTTTGGGACAAATTATAAGCCCCATAAATCTAATTTGTATTTTTTACTTTATTTTTACTTTTAAGCGATAATCCAGTTTTGCGAATACGTTGAATTCACAACTTTGGATGGAAACATGGTTAATGAGTTAAAAAAAAATGTTGTTAACATTTATATCAATAGACCAAAGAGAAGAGGTAAGTTTTGACTGATTTAAAGAAATTTTTTTTTAATGTGGATGAAGCTCTAATTTCTAAAGGTAATGTGTTCCAATGTTTTGGAGCATAGACAAAAAAAAGTCTGTCTCTTTTTGTTTTTGAGAAGGATTTAGGTACAATTAGCAGGAGCTAAGCAGAGGACCTGAGGGATCTTTGGGGAGAATACAAACTTAAAGGTTCAGATATCTAGGCCAAGGCAAGTCTATAGAGATCTTTAAATACATATGTTAAAAATCAAAGCCGGTGAAGAGAGGCCTGGATGGGAGAAATATGTTTTCTCTTTTTGTTCCAATCAAAAGATGGACTGCTGCATTTTGGACTTTCTGTAAGTGTGAGATTGATGACTGTGTATGCTGCATTACAATAATCAAGAGATAAACATGAATAACATTCTTCAAGTATTTAAAAGAAATAAAGGACTTTAACTCTCTTAGTTGTTTTAGTTGGAAGAAGCTGGCCCTAACCAACCTTAGGGATTTCCATAATGTTTCATACCGATAACAACGCCCAGCTCCATCATCCCAACAAAGCAACCCATGTATCATCTACAATCTCAAATTTCTATGAACTTGAAAAAGCAATCAGGTCCAAACCTAAGCCAAGTTAAAGTTTCCTCATAAAAAGATGTCAAAGCAAAGATCAAAGACCCACAATGCAAATTCAAAAGTAAAACACACTTAAATAGCAGTTCTGTTGAAATACACATTCACATAACAGATATTGTTTTACACTGCAGTATTACAATAAATCAACTGAGTCCTTACCTGGAGGGTCTGGATTAACCTGCTTGTGTTGAAAGGCTTCTGCTCTTATACAGACACTGATCCTGATCTCCATCTGTCTTCATCATCATCATTATCATCCACCCTGCAACATGCATAAAACAGAAGCTTTCTAATCAAATTACCCACATGCTGTATGCTTACTATTCAGACCCCGCTTAATATTCAATGCATGTCAATTAGTCAAGATTTTCTCTGTGTTCTGAGGTCTGTTAGACTTCAGATATTTCTTCTAATATCCCTTGTAAAATAAAAATATAAGAATGAATATATTAATTTATAAGCAATAATTTAAAATATAGTTTTTCAGTGTAGCTCTTAAAGGGATATTTCCATCAAAAATGATAATTGTGTCATCAGTAACGTACCCTTTAAGAGTTTCTTTCTTTTACTGAACACTAAAGATGTTTTGAAAACAACTTGAAACCTGTAACTATTAACTTCCATAGTATTTGTTTTTCTTAGCATGAAAGTTGATCATTGCAGATTTTTTACTTTTTAAAAAATATCCTCTGTAGTGTTCAACACACACAAAAAGAAACTCTTAAAATTTTCAAACAACTCGAGGGAGTAAATAGTGAGTAAAATGTTCATTTTTGGGTGAACTAGCCCTTTCAGAGAATTTGATAAAAAAAACTTTAATGACTATTTACATAACATTTTATATGAAAGTCTTAAATGGCACATATTTTACTCCTTTTTCAAGATTTAAAATAAGTATTTTGTGTCTCCAAAATGTGTCTGTAAAGTTTCAGCTCAAAACACCCATCAGATTATTTATTAAACTTTTCGGAATATTGGATTTTTCTGCTTTAAAGGCACAGGCCACAGAAACAGCTCCCCACCCACCATTCCCATGTGCCTGTCAGAATGTGCCTAAATCTCCTCCTCAGCTGCGTCAGATAAACAGCACATTGACAGACATGAAAGAAGCATATATCATGTTACATTTGTAAGAAATACTACAGTAAAAACTTTCCCAATGATTATTTGATGTATTTGTTGTGAAGTTAATTCAAGTCTTTCTGCAAAAAGTCACACACATTATCATTACAAACATACACACACACACACACACACACACACACACACACACACACACACACACACACACACACACACACGTTTAACTTTGCATGCAAATGTGACAGGATACACGTTAATATACACTGTTGTATGGATATCCTTTATGTTAATGTACAAAATAAACTTGATTTAATGTCCACAAATCGAGACTGAAGTGTCTTCTTTTATAATTGCACTGACATGCGGCTGTGGTGATAAAGTAAAGATGGTAAATTCACTGTAATTTATTACAAACATGCACGAACATGTTTCAAAAACGTTTTAAGCTTGTAAAACTCATTCATGATGATGATTGATGACCACAGAAAGCCGAACAGATCTTTTAATTCCAGTTGCTTTGCGCACATCCTGTTTTGTTGATATGATTATACGCATTACTATGGAGACATGCTAATACATGTCTGTCAATCAAATGGGTGGGTGGGGAAACCTCACTCTTACGTCACATTGTGTTGGGCCTCAAAATGGGAGGGATTTGAATCCTATTTTAACATCTGGAAATAAAAAAAGACACTTATTGTCTTTATATCACTTTATTTCTTTATATGACTGTGGATACACTATACTACACACAGTTCTGTCCCAACAGCTTACAAAAGATGATTTTCATCATAGGTGCCTGTTAATATCAGACATGTTTCCTAGGAGAATCAATTAACATGTTTTGCTGTCTAGAGGGCAAAACCGACACATTAGCCAGATTTTTCTTTTCTACAGTAGCTTTTTGGGCCCGATCCAAAATCAATGTTTCAACTGTAGATAACTTTGGTATAACCAGACGTTTAATGTTACTTTCCTACAATAAATCCTGGATTTATTTAATACCTTTTTGGCGTTTCTAAGATACTCAGTGTCGAAACATATCCTATGCCATTTATGTACACTAATTAGCCTGTATTATCACATAACTTGGCAACAAATGAGCTTCATTTAGTCATCTGGCTTGGCAGATCACACACGTGATCTTTAATAAAGATACATGCTGCCAGTTCAGTCAATTTAACAAGCTCTCATCATATAAATCATCCAGGCCTTATCTTGTGTGTAAAGTTCACACAATTGAAAATGGAAAAGCAAGCAATTCTTTCCAGCTGAGTGATGCTTATTTTCAACATACATTTTTCGAATCTCTACAAACTGTACGAGCATCACAAATACAAGGTGTTTTCACAGTATCACACCTTAACCTCCTTAACGCCACAGTGTAAATGACGTTATTTTACTGTAAGGTTCACAGTACACCTGTGCAGAAGAATAATGTGATTTTACAACTTCAATTGTTTGCGCATATCTTATAACCTCCTATAGAACCCTGCTGTTAATAATTGATTCATCTTATCGCCTGTAATGTCCCAGTCAAGCTGTAACTGATTGGAAAACTGCTCACTGTTTCTGATTTACCTGAAAGTGTCAGTACTAGACACTGATTCAACACCAATGGGAAACTTTTTAAGCTTTAAAAAAACAAAAGCAAACCTCACTACAGTACCAGGAACTGAGGAGTCTGACATGACCTGCGATGATGAAACGGTATGTTATGTTAGTCATATTCTGGAAGTCTTCCGATCTTCACTAGTTCTTCTTGTGCTTTTGCAAGCTTATCAACCGGAGGCAAATGCTTTGACTAAGTTAGCATGACGTTTCCTACTGAATTCATTAAGCAACTCCAAGATTAGGAATAAAAAAAACGAAACATTCACTTCCTTTTACAATGTAACTCGATATGTCTTCTGGCCTTGAGGGATCATTAACCCAAGACGTGAATTCTTATCACTTATTGGCACACACAGGAGCTACATGGTTTCGTCCTCCTTTTGGCAAACACTTCAGAGGACTTTTCAGGAGAACATCACGTCTGACCGGTGTGGCATCGGCTATATAACGGTCTAAAATCTCTCTCTTTTTTTTTAATCATGCCGGGCTCTGGAGGTCCAGTTGCGACGTTCTCCGTCTGGGACTATGTGGTGTTTGCTGGCTTGATTCTTGTTGCAGCAGGCATTGGTTTGTTTCAATCATTTCGTGGACGTAAGGAGGCAAGCAGTGATGAGTTTCTACTGGGGGGCCGTCAGATGACTGCGGTGCCTGTGGCTTTGTCTCTAACGGCTAGTTTTATGTCTGGCATCACCGTTATTGGCACTCCTGCCGAGGCGTACCTGTATGGCACACCATTCTGGCTCTTCTTCATCTCCTACGCCATCATGTCCACCATCAGTGCTGAGATCTTCGTGCCATTGTTCTACCGGCTGAACATCACCAGCACATATGAGGTGAGAGGGTTTGCATGAGGACAGAGAACACAAATAGACTGAAAAGACTCGCCATTTGTGCTTAATAAAGATCAATAGATAGAGTGAAATGAGGACAAGGGAGAGATAGGGGAATGGAAATCAAAGTGATGTAAAAGACAGGATCAATGTCAGGATGTCAAGGGGTAACATTGGGTTTTTGATGGTCCCTCAATGGATGTCCAAATGAATACTTTTGCAACAGTTTAATAGTACTACTACTAATACCAAATGAAAAAACAAAAAAAAAATGCAATAAATTTCTCCTTTAGATATTTTGGGACTATATGTATACTTATTATCCAAACCCTTACAAAACAGTCTAGTAATATGGTAGTTAACATGTATTTAAAGTTACTAATAGTTTACAAAATTACTAGCTTAACCTAGTTATTGACAAACAGATTTATCTTCTCTGGCATTGCACTATTGTTTTTGACATTTTAATAGCATTTTATTATATATTACTGTGCAAAAGCTATTAATGGTCAATGTCTGTGTGGAAATACCTAAAATATAAGTAAAATCAATTAGCATTAGGAATTATAAAATTAGAGATATTATAAATCATTATTCATTTCAACAACAGCGGATTAAATAGAACTTATTCTACTAACTCTAAGCCTAACCTAAAGGTCTGCAAATACTATAATGAAAGGTACTTGTTATGTGCAATAGTTACTTATATAGTTGACAGAATGTCTAAAGTGTAACTTAGTACAATGCCAGAGGTGTTAAATCTGTTTGTCAGTAACTGTTTGGCAGTTTTAGAGTGTTAAATTGTAAATTCCAATGTGCAAAAGCCATTAAAGAGCTGTCTGTGTCGAAAAAAAAGCCCAATTAAAGCTAAAATAGTTAGAATATGAAGTGTAATTTAAAATAGTCCAGATAGTTATTGGCATGCAATTCTTACGATTAACCTATTAAACACTGTTAGTGGCGAAGCAGTGGCGCAGTAGGTAGTGCTGTCGGCTTACAGCAAGAAGGTCGCTGGGTCCCTGGTTCGAGCCTCAACTCAGTTGGCATTTCTGTGAGGAGTTTGCATGTTCTCTCTGCGTTCGCGTGCTCCGATTTCCCCCACAGTCCAAAGACATGCGGTACAGGTGAATTGGGAAATTGTCCGTAGTGTATGAGTGTGTGTGTGTGTGTGTGTGAATGTGTGTTGATGTTTCCCAGAGATGGGTTGCGGCTGGAAGGGCATCCGCTGAGTAAAAACTAGCTGGATAAGTTGGCGGTTCATTCCGCTGTGGCGACCCCGAATTAATAAAAGGACTAAGCCGACAAGAAAATGAATGAATGAATGAAAACTGTCAGTGATAGCTTAGAAAAACAGCATGTAATAATTGATCCCCTTAGTTATTCTGTTATCTATGAGTAATTTCACAAGTGCGTCTAGTTTCACAAGTGCGTCAAGTTACTAATACGGCAGATAAGTATTTTAATACTTATTAGTTGACTTATAGTTGAATAGTTACTTATATTCAAAGTTATCCTTTGACATTGTGCTGTATTTGGGGTTTTAATAGTGAGTGTTTTATTTAAGTGTTTTATTGTGGAATAATGATAAATAAATAATAATAATAATTGAATTGAAATAGAAAATGGTGAGTATCTCAATAAACGCACCAAGTTCGAATCACACGTTATTCTTATGCTAAACTATCAAAACCACATTGATGTTAATCTGAAAAGAAACAGCACGTAATAGTTCATCCTACATGTGTGAGTTGTGTAATTGTGTGAATTATATGAAGTAAATGTGTCGTTACGTTTGCTAATGATAATAAATAAATCGAAATTGAAAATGGCGTGTATTTCAACATTAGTATCGCTACTTATTCCAATGATTAACCATTTAAAACAACATCAATGTTAATCTAAGAAAAAAACAGCAAGTAATAGTTCATCGTACATGCGTGAGTTTTGTGTAATTGTGTAAATTATATAAACCAAATGTGTTGTCATGTTTGTTAATAAAAATAAATAAATCGAAAACGGTGTGTATTTCAACATCAGTAATCCTGAAGTGTTTGAAACACATGTTATTCTTATGATTAATCATTAAAACAATATCGATGTTAATCAGAGAAAAAAACAGCACGTAATAGTTCATCCTACATGTGTGAGTTTTGTGTAATTGTGTGAATTATATAAAGTAAATGTGCTGTTACGTTTGCTAACGATAATAAATACATACATCAAAATTGAAAATGGTGTGTATTTCAACATCAGTATCGCTAAAGTGTTTGAATTACAAGTTATTCCAATGATTAACCATTAAAACAATATCAATGTTAATCTGAGAAAAAAACAGCACGTAATAGCTCATCATACATGCGTGAGTTTTGTGGAATTGTGCAATTTATATAAACCAAATGTGTCGTTACGTTTGCTAATAATAATTAATAGATCAAAATAGAAAATAGCTTGTTTTTAATGAGTATCGCTGATTTATTTGAATGACACATTATTCTTATGGTTAACCATTAAAACAACACCTGTGTTAATCTAAGGAAAAACAGCATGTAATAGTTCATCATACATGTGTATGTTGTGTAAATTATATAAAGCAAATGTGTCGTTACTTTTGCTAATAAAAATATGTTAATCGATATAGAAAATGGTGTGTATTTTAACGTCAGCAGCGATGAAGTGTTCGAATCACACTTTATTCTTATGATTAACCTTTAAAACAACATCGATGTTAATCTGAGAAAATACAGCATGTAATAGTTTATCGTACATGCGTGAGTTTGGTGTAATTGTGTGAATTATATAAAGCAAATGTGTTGTTTTGTTTGCTAATAATTAATTTAATTGGTCACTTGTTTTTGCAGTACTTGGAAATGCGTTACAACAAGCTCATCCGAGTGATTGGAACCAGCATGTATATTATTCAAACCGTGAGTTGGCTTTTAGCTTTGTGCATGACTTTATACATAACCAATGATGCAAATGATGAGTGATTGCATTATAGCATGTAGTTTTGGAAAATCATTGTCTGTTGCGTCTATGCACTTTACAATTCCTAAAAGTCACATAAGTGATAAATATATTGAACAATTTCCTGTGAAAGAGATTTTTGTCTAATCGTCTAATGGGTTGTGTTATCTCTTATAGGCTTTATACACAGGCATGGTTATCTTTGCACCTGCACTCGCACTTAATCAGAGTAAGTACATAACTACGTCACATTTATTAATGCCAAAGAACAGAGCAAAGCCTGACAAAAGAAATAGTCTCTTGTTCTCAACAAGTAGATTGAAATGACAATATTGTGGAATATTTTTTTTCCAATTTAAAACAAATGTTTAGCATTTCAATATAAAAAATTATTTATTCCTGTGATAGTGTTTTATGGCAACACGTCTCCAGTCTTCAGTGTCACACAATTCTTCTGAAACCATTTTAATATACTAATGTTTTTGACATGATTACAGTATACACTACCTGACAAAAGTCTTGTCATCGATCCCAGTTATAAGAGCAAAAAATAATGACTTCTAGTTGATAATTTGGAAAAGTGGCAGAAGGTAGATTTTTCAGATGAATCATCTGTTGAACTGCATCCCAATCATCACAAATACTGCAGAAGACCTATGGGACTCACATAGACCAAAATTCTCAGTCCAAAAAATCAGTCAAGTTTGGTCAAGAAAAAAATCATTGTTTGGAATTACATTCAGAATCGGGGCGTGCTAGAGATCTGCAGAGTAGATGGCAACATCAACAGCCTGAGGTATCAAGACATTTGTGCTGCCCATTACATTACAAACGACAGGAGAGTCCAAAATCTTCAGAAGGATAGGGCTCCTTCTCATACTTCAGCCTCCACATCAAAGTTCCTGAAAGCAAAGAGGGTCAAGGTGCTCCAGGATTGGCCATCCCAGTCACCAGACATGAATATTATTGAGCATATCTGCTGGAAGATGGAGGAGGAGGCATTGAAGATGAATCCAAAGAATCCAGATAAACTCTGGGAGTCCTGCAAGAACGCTTTCTTTGCCATTGCATATGACTTTATTAAGTTATTTGAGTCATTGCAGAGATGTATGGATGCAGTCCTCCAAGCTCATGGGAGTCATACACAATATTAATTCTGTTTCCACTGCACCATGACTATATATTCTATACTGTACATCATTTCAGTTAAGTGACAAGACTTTTTTCTAAGCAAAGTCAGACCTTACTGTCCTAATTAAATAATTAAAAATCAAGGCATGATCATATTTTGTTTTGGTAAAATAAGCGTAATCTAGAGGCTTTTGCTTTTTATATAAGCCACTTCTGATACCAAATGATCAACTAGAAATCAAGTTATCATTTGTTGTTTCTAAAACACGACTTTTATGAGGTAGTGTATAATATTTAAGATATAAGTATTCAGCTTAAAATACAATTCAAATGCTTGACTAAGTTAATTAAGCAAGTCATTGGACAATAGTGATTGTTCTGTAGCCAATCAAAAATATAATTATAAATAAATGTAAGTAAATGTATATAAAAACTATTCTGTAACATATTGAATATCTAAAATGTCATGTCTAATAAATTGAAAATGTCTATACTGACCCATTTAAAAGTAAAAATCTTACTAAGATTTGTGGAAAACATCTTGTGTTGCAGTTACTGGTCTGGATCTGTGGGGAGTGTTAGTGGCAACGGGGGCTGTCTGCATTATCTACTGCACCCTGGTCAGTAACTTCATTCATGTTAATCACAACTTCACAGAATTTGTGTTACTGCAATAAACATATCATATGCACATTTTAGCCATCTTTTAAGAGCTCTGAAAAGCTCATAATTAGAAAAATATATAAATAACTATAAATTTAGTGCTCAGGATGTCTATATAATGTATTTAAATGATCATGTGTGAAACTGTGTTTTCTGTTCTTCGTTTTTGTAACTGTCAATCAACTGTTTCACCTGTGCAAATCAAATTTCCTAAGGGATGAATAAACTAACCTGAACCTGAAATAATCTTTGGGGCAATGGCAAAATGATCCATATATGCTAAGTGTTCTGTTCCTAATGGAACCATCACTGGCAATGGCAACCTCTTAGTTTCTAGAACAAAAATATTAACTTCGGTTAAAGTTGAGTTCAAAATAAAGTCAAATATTTTTTACATTTGAGATTTTTTGGGAATCTCAGAAAAATCATTTCATAATTCAGTAAATACTGCAAGAATCCAGGAAAAATAAATTACTTTTTTTGCAGAATAAAATATTGTATCTATATCTTAGTGTATGTTAATACTACTATAATTAAGATTAATGATCAATGCAGGATAATTTTATTTTTTTTCTATATATTATTAGCCTTAAAGGTTGCATGAAGTGCTATGAAATGTGCATTTTTATTTGATGTTTGACATAATCTCAACTGAAACACGGTCAGAGGGTCTTACAAAGAGTTAGCCCTCCCTTTTTTAAAAAACAGCCAGTAGAGTTTTGTTTTATCACTGCTCTGTGAGAGTGGTTGAGCTGAAGTGCATCAAATAAAAAGCAAATGAACAGCATCTTGAAGGGGCGGGTCATGTCAGATACTAAAGAGCATTTGATTGGTTATGATGTGATGAGAAACTGTAGTATGAGGTGACGTGAATAAAACGGTGGATCCATTTGGGCGGGAGTGACAAACTACAAGCTTTACATGTTTATATCAGTTTTATATCTTCTAAATGTGAATTTTGCCACTATGTTGGAGCACACTAGTTTATAGATATCCTAAAAACTAAACGTTTTCTTAAGATTAAACTTTAGAAACCCTTTATTGAAAACCTTTTTTTCACAAATTGAAAAATAAAGTCAAATTAAATTAAAAGTATACACGATTAATTTAATGTAAATTAATGTAAATATGGTCTACAGTTTGTAAACTCATTGATGTCTTTTGTGCTCTTTTTGTCCTTCCTGTGTTTATGGTGTGCACAAAGAATATCCTGCATGATTTATGAATGCGTGTTGGATCTGACTGTATTGTTGTCGTCAGGGAGGGCTGAAGGCAGTGATCTGGACAGACGTGTTTCAGATGATCATCATGTTGGGTGGTTTTGTGGCTGTTATCGCTCGCGGGGCGGTTCTGCAGGGAGGACCGGGGAGGGTCTGGAATGACAGCTTCTATGGAGGACGCCTGGAGACATTCAGGTAAAGAAAACTGGTGTAAAAGCAGGTCACATTCAGTATATGCAACTGTTGCAACATACATTTGAACCTTTATAGTGTAATTTGCCTTTTGAGGAATGCATATAAAATTCTAATAATGGCATAGTTTTAAGTAAGGAAACCAAAGTTTGGAAATTGCCTTAAAGCGAGTTTACACAAAACTGAACATCTGTCAACATTTATCCTTCACTTGTCAAACTTGTTTGAGATTCTTTCTTCTGCTGAATGCAAAACAAGATATTCTGAAGAAACCACTGTTATTCACAACATCTATTATTCCCACTACTGAAGTCAATGTTTTTGAAAAAACATAATTTTTTCAAAACTTACAGAGTTCAAAATAACTCATTTTGTGTTCAACAGGATGAAGAAATTACTAAAGGTTTGAAGCCACTTCAGGATGATTAGAGAAATTTTGTCACACAAAATTTATATTTAAGACCCTTTTGCATTTATTTTCCTTCGGCTTAGTCTCTTATTTATCAGAGGTCGCCACAGCGGAATGAACCGCCAACTATTCCAGCGAATGTTTTATGCCTCGGATGCCCTTCCAGTTGCAACCCAGTTCTGGGAAACATCCATACACTCTGGCATTCATATTCACACACACTATGGCCAATTTAGCTTATTCAATTCACCTGTAGCGCATGTCTTTGGACTGTGGGTGAAACCGGAGCACCCGAAGGAAATCCACATGAACACGAGGAGAACAAGCAAACTTTACATAGAAATGCCAACTCGAACCAGCAACCTTGTTGCTGTGAGGTGACAGTGCTAACCACTGAGCCACCGTGCCACCTGTTGCAGATTTTTATTTATTGGTAAAACTTTATCCTTTCTTTTTTATGTGTGTTTGGAGTATATAAAAAAATAAATATAAACTTGTTTTTCTTTAATAAATTTCAGGCTATAATTTTTGTTTTCATGTTGATTTTCTTAAAAATAAATAAGAATAGGTTTAATACATTTTAGGTTGTTTTAAAAAATAAAACGTTTTAAGTAAGTAAGTTTAAAAATTATATATATATTTGTAATTCAGTTTTTATTTCCACAATGAATATATAACTTTTACAATCAGATATAAAAGTACTTTTAACAGCTATTACCCGTAGATATCCCCCATCCCTCAGCCCATTATATACACATCAGGAAACGCAGGATAACTATAGACCAAGCAAGTGAATAAATTACATTAAATTTGACTTTCATAGAATAAGAAATATTTTTTTTTCACCATTTAATTCAGAATAAATAAACGCTCACTCAAAAATAAGAAGTTGCTGATATGGAAATTTGTTTTAATTATTATTATTAAAATTTCTGAAACAATGATTCTTTGTGTCCAACCTGAAATGTGAAATGCAGTGCACAGCATATATAAGTACACCCCTCACAAATCTATCTGTTAAATTCATATTTTTTAAAGGGAACTATACAATATTATATTTGTGCATATACATAAAATAGTCATTACTGAAGACAAAGCTGGCGCTTTTCTAACAATTTGAACTTACGATTACAGTCCAAAAATTAGTACAGCCAAATTTATGTGTTACAGAAAAATATTAAATACTTATTTGAAAAAGAGTTTTTGTAGGTTGAATTTAATTGTATTATCTTTCAATTTCTAAATGTGTTTGGTGATTAAGATATTATTTAATAAATATATCTGTTTAATGTATCTGTTTCGTTTAAATGCACTAAAATGTATTGCCTATATTCACTGAGAAATGGATAAAAATATTCATTTTCAAAATGAATGTACTCAATTATGCTCAGCACTGTAGATTGCAAAAGAGTTTTTACCATGATGCCACAGAAAGACAACACACATTCCCCAAATAACCTTAGATCTAAACATTTTTTCTTTGTCTGAAAAACATTTCAATCATCTTAAGAGCGTTTTACACTATAATGAATATTTTGGGAATGAAAACATTTGCATAGATGTAAAACATTCTTCAATAATCAATAAAGAACCTAACATAACCCTTACCAACTCATACCTCTGAAATGCTCCTTCAGCTTTGACCCTGACCCTCTGAGGCGTCACAGTTTTTGGACAATCGTTGTTGGTGGCAGTTTGATGTGGGCATCCATGTACTCCATCAACCAATCACAGGTCCAGCGCTATATTTCCTGCCGGACAATGACTCATGCCAAACTGTGAGTATTTCACTCAAAACATGATCAACATTTGATCCTCCAAAACCATTTTTCTTTTCAAATACTTCGAGTGCTTTTTAAGATTTTTACAACTGCTTTTCATTACATATTTTCCTTATTTGTTTTAGTTTGGCTAGAATAAAAACCCATTTTGTACTATTTCTTTTTTCCAGTTTCTACAGAACACTACCGTCCAGCAACTAGCCTAATTAACCTAGTTTAGTCTTTGAATTGCACTTTAAATGGCAAAATAACTACTAAAATGTAATGTATCTTCATAGAAAAAGAGAAAAGAAATCTGTTATAAAAAAAATAGTTTTTTTAAAAGGTGTTGAAAAAAAATCTCCCCTTCAAAGAGCACTTATTTTGTAAAATAATGCAAGAAAGGTTAATAATTTATTTAGTTTTTATCTGTATATCTGTACTAAAGTTCTTTTTTTGCCCTATTTCCCTTTGAATAAAAGAGACTGCATGTTTAAAGAATACATGTTAACAGTAAATGGATGCTTGAACAGATCTCTGTATGTGAACATGGTGGGATTGTGGGTGACAGTGAGTTTGGCTATGATGTCTGGTCTCACCATGTACTCCATCTATAAAGACTGTGATCCTTTCACTAATAAAGACGTAGGAGCCACGGACCAGGTAAAACTCATCCCAGCAATAACCTCTTCATGTTTACTCAGTTTACAATTAATTTGAGCTAATAAAATGTTTTGCAGCTCCTTCCTTATCTAGTGATGGACATCCTGGCAGATTTCCCAGGACTGCCAGGTCTGTTCGTGGCTGCAGCTTACAGTGGGACATTAAGGTGAACACTGTTATTAAGATATCTGCTGTAAATCTATGTAAATTCATCTTGATCATTTTGGCACAAACATTAGCATCAGAGTGAAACAACTGAAAAGATTGATTCAAATTCATTCATTTTCTTTTCGGCTTAGTCCCTTTATTAATCTGGGGTCGCCACAGCGGAATGAACCACCAACTTATCCAGCATATGTTTTATGCAGCGGATGTCCTTCCAGCTGCAACCCATCACTGGGAAACATCCAAACACACTTATTCACACATATACACTATGGACAATTCACCTATACTGCATGTCTATGGACTGTGGGGGAAACCGGAGCACCCAGAGGAAACCCACGCAAACATCGGGAGAACATGCAAACTCCACACAGAAACGCCAACTGACCCAGCCGGAGCTCGAACCAGCGACCTTCTTGCTGTGAGGCGATTGTGCTACCCACTGCGCCACCGTGATTCATTTATACTTTTAAAAAAGGAAAAAAAAAAAAAAAACATTTAAAAATAAAAAAAAATTATTTAGCTTGGTAAAACCATAACAGTTTCAAGTTACAATAAGCTTACTTGCTATATGCTAATGCATTTCCATGTGTATGAACATATTTTAATTATTTTTATTTGTAATTATAGTTTAGGGGTCACAAACTCAATTTGGCAGAGAGCCATTTCAGTAACTGACAATTCATAGGAGGGCTGTTTTAACATTCAAGCACAAGAAAAAAAGTGATGTAATTGGTGCATCTTAGAACAACATACATGATGTTTCTAATTCAAGCACTGCCTCACAAATCAACAAATCAGCACGTTTTTTCTTCACACATTTGCTGAAATATATTTTTGGCTGTTTAAATTAGCATTTTGACATATTTTGTCATTATGATAATAATAATAATTATTATTTTTCTGTCCCAACCAACTGTTGCATTACCAAAGGTTTAACAGATAGCGAAAGAACAGAAGAAAAAGTTTGGGAAACTTTACTGGCAATTGTTCGTCTTAGTATCTTTCTTTTTGTAAAACTACAACAAAGGGGGAAAAACAATGACATATTCACATTTACTTTAACATATTCTATTCAACCACTAGTAAAATCTACATAGTTTTCATAAAAATCTAAATAGGCCTATGAGGAAAACCTATTAAATGAGACCATTTGAATCGAATATGAACAAAACTAGCATGTTACACCACCAGCATAACGTGTACGCCATGAAAGAGTTTGTTTAACAAAATACAGGTGGTATAAAGCTGAAATTAATCAAATGATCCTTGAATATTTACAAAAATAGAGCACTTATGCACATTTATTTCAACGTTTTAATTAGCCGGAGAAAATCTACATGTGCGTTACTTCCGAACGCACGCTTAGAAAAAAACTAAGTAAAAACAAACAAAGTAAACTGAAATACAGGAAAATATAGCGCAATACTTAAACGTTCAATAGGGTGGGGGGAGGGGTTTGAGGGGTGAAAACCACAAGAGGCTACATGCACAACGATAGTGATTTTAAAACATGTTTGGGGGAACCGAATCTCGTTATATTCTTGGCGTCAGCCGCGAGTTTGAATCCCTATAATTCAGGGGTGTCAAACTCAATTCCTGGAGGGCCGTAGCCCTGCACAGTTTAGTTCCAGCCCTGCTCCAACACACTTACCTGTAGGTTTCATACAAGCCTGAAGGACTCAATTAGTTTGATCAGGTGTGTTTAATTAGGGTTGGAACTAAACTGTGCAGAGCTGCGGCCCTTTTGGAACTGAGTTTGACACCTGTGCTCTAATAGATCTCATATATAAACTACAAAGGAATTGTTAGTAACTGATATTATATTCATTTCGATTTTATTCCAACATTGTAAATTTACAGTACTTATCCATAATGTAAACACTAAAATAAAATAAAAACTAAAATATACATAAAAATATCTAAACAAAATCATCGTGTTTTATCTGACAAAATGATGTTAGATGCTCTAATTATGGCCTGATGTAACAATTTTTAAATTTTGTTAGTCATGTCACACATTGGTTTTCACTGTTAGATCTCTCACAAGTTTGTTTTCAACAGTACGGTGTCGTCGAGTATCAACGCTCTTGTGGCTGTGACAGTGGAAGACTTCATGAAACCTGCATGGCCTTCACTGACAGAACGACAGCTGTCCTGGATCAACATGGGCATGAGTGAGTCCATATACACTAACATCCACATGCTTTCCTTCAGTGTAAAGCAGTGGATAATGGATTGACTTTCATGTGAAAGCTTACTGTATAAGTGTAATAGAAATGCTGCTTGTCTCTAGGTGTGTTCTATGGCGCTGTTTGCATTGGCATGGCTGGTGTTGCCTCCATGATGGGAAATATACTGCAGGTAATACACAAAGCCAACAATTTAATGCAAACGTTGCTTGAAGTTTTGTAAAAATCTTCTGACTTTCCTCACTGTATCTAAAGCTCCCTCTGTAACACTTGATTTTGATGCTCCATTTGAGTAGTAGACTGTCTACTTAATATCTGTTGACAGCTCCATCAACAGACATTTAACTGACTATAAGAATCTTTGCAAGTACATGTCAATTTACACTAACCCCAATCCTAACAGTCTATTTATAATCTTTTATTCTATTTATAATGTAACAAACAGACCACCAAAATAAAGTGTGCCCGCTCCCTCTGCTGGTGAGAGACTGTAACAACACACTATCGATCTCTTCCTCCACAGGCAGCTCTGTCCATATTTGGTATGATCAGCGGGCCTCTTCTGGGTCTATACATGCTGGGCATGTTCTTCCGCTGCGCAAACTCCACTGTAAGAAACATCTTTACTAGTCAAATTATAAATTATACTGCTAATATTGACTTATTTAAATATGCAGTGTCATTTAAATGTGTATTAGTATCGAACTAAAAGCTACTGTATACTGATTCTCTATAGGGAGGTTTAGCTGGTTTGGCTTCTGGCTTGGCAATAACGCTGTGGGTGGGGATTGGAGCTCAGTTATATCCTCCTTTACCCGAGAAGACCCTCAGGCTTCCCTTGAGTGTGGAAGGATGTGTTGCTCTGAACACAAGCGAAACCACCACTATGACACCATTCAGCACAGTCCTGCAAACCACAACTCCACAGTTAGTATGGCTATTTCTGTTGTTGTAAATACGCAATAAATGAAATTTTTGGAGGAGTCTGTAAAAATTTTATATTATTCAATTATGCTCACCATTGCTGCATTTACTTTATTAAGAATAAAGTGAAATATTTGTAATATTGCTAAATATTATTATGATTGAAAACAACCAATTTCTATTTAAAAATAACTGAAATGTAATTTATTTTTGTGAGGCTAATCTAAATACTCTTATGAATCCTTTTGTCACACGATCCTTCAGAAATCATACCAATCTGCTAGTTTTGGTAACATTAAATCTGTTTTAATTGTCATCTATCAATTTAATGTATATTTTATAGAGAAACCTATTAAACACATATCGTATATTTTTCCTTCACTTGTTTAAATTGAATATATACACATTTAATTGATTAATAAGCATGTTGAAATCAATGCAAACTGTAATTTCTCATTTTATCCTTTAGGCCAAGACCAGCTTTGGCAGACAACTGGTATTCTCTGTCATATCTCTATTTCTCTCCCGTTGGCATAATTGTGACCATGATCATCGGACTAATAGTTAGTGCAATCTCAGGTAAGATAAGTCTGTCGTATTGTCTTGTTAGTAAGGCAAACATTCAAGCAACATAAACGTTAAGTTTTGTGCTTTAGGTGGCTGTAAGCAGAAGAAGGTTCGACCTGAGCTCTTTATCAGCAAATCAGATCTCATTTGCTTCAGATGTAAAAAATCAGACTCAGAGGTGAGATTTATTAAATGATTTGAAGTATACTTTTTTGTTTCTCTTCTGAAAAGGTTGATGTCTTTGAGAGATTTTACCTTTACATTTGTTATTTACAAATGCTGATGAAGTGATTGCTCTGAAATTTTCCTTTTACACTTAGGACTGGGCAATATGGAAAAAAATGCAATCTCGATTAGTATTTTCTATATTGAACAATAATAATATATATTTTGATATAAGTTGTTAATTCTTCCAGATTTCAAAGAGTCAACAATGACTGAAGCCACAAAAATTAGAGGGTCCATTAAAGAGCATAACTTTTTCAGCAAATAAATTCAGTTGCTGAAAATCCAGTACATCACTATTAACACACTTTTAGATTCCCATTGTTGAACATTTTAGCTGGGTGATTGATTGGTTATTAGATCAATATAGAGTAAAGAAATTATCATCAGCGCTTATTGTTATTGACATCAATTTTATTGCGATTCGATATCATATCGTTTATCCCCAGCTCAGCTTTACTTACACTTATTAACTGCATTTCTCTCCTTTTTAGGTGTCAGACCTAATTGAGACTAAGCCAAAAGACATTCAGGGTCTGGACAGTCCAGTTTTCTATGACAATGAAATTGTACTGAAAGAGAAAGACCAGCAGGAGAAGATCACAAAGCTTTAAATGTAACATAAAACCATTTTGCATATGATGTAAATAGTAAATTATAACTGTTTTATAGATATATGTATATATGCATGTGGAAATTGCTAAATTATGATAATGCATCACAAGAGAAGAGAAGCAATAAACGAATAGTAAATATTTCTATTTTTAGGCAAGTATTCTAAATGATATTATAGGGGCTTGCATAAATGATAAATTCTATGATTTTTCTGATCAAGTATGAAATAGTTTGCCCCTTAATATTTTGTTTTATGCTTTGTATTAAATCTGTTTTGAAATAAAAATTGATGAACGACTGTGTCAATCTAATAAATCAGCTCTTACATACAGTACATAAAGAAAAACACAGTACATGTGCATCAGTGTAAAGTATACGCAAGTGTTAAAAATAGCTGAACACCTGCCTCCTCACTGCCGGAAGAGGCAGTCAGGCGTTCAGGCCCGGCCCCTTCTACCTGTTTGTTTGACGTGGAGCCGAGCGAGTTGTTTTCTTTAGGGAGTGGAAAAAGACTCGAGCAGGTGGGGGGAGGGTAATAACTGCTGCGAAGCACTTCCTGCTTATACTACAACAGTTTGTTTCAGCTTACAGGTAAGTTCTTCTCTTGTTTTTACATGTAAATACTGTCTTTATATATAAACTACAAGAACACAAACACTGTGAATGAATGTGAGATAAAAGCGATGATAGTTGTAGAACAAAAAGAGACAAGCAATATCTGTTTTTAAAAAGATTCTGACATGACTTGTTCTTATACTGGATGCAAAGTAATTAAAATTGTCTGCGAGAGCATGAGGCCACTTGAGGAAATTCTGAGATGGTTGGCATCAATAAAAATGGGTCGGTCATGGTTGTTTGTTAGTCTATTCAAAACCATGTGGTTCTTTCTTGTCTTCAGTTTCATGTCAGCGCCATTTTAGTCATTATGAGTCATCTTCTAAATATCTCTGAGTTCTTCTAAACTCACATATTGTGTGCATTTCATTTTATTGTACATATTGTTCATTTAAATATTGAGCACAGAAGTAACTATTGTTTCGTACAAGAACATGTAAAGTTGAATTAATAAGTGATAAAATACAAAGGAAGTCATGCTGATGCACTTTACCAGAAATAAACATACTTTCGCAAATGGAAAGTTTGCAAACCGCCTAGCAGGAAACCACATGTCAACACCACATACAGATAAAACACAGCAAACTAGGCCATGAGCTGTATGAAACTCTCAACTCTTAACTCTGAACCTACAGTGACTTATGCTCTGTATATATGCTATGTTTTGTTTTAAAGCTGACAGCAATTGCAACAGTCATGGGTGTGTTTACTTTTCGACATTTGGTATGGGGCCAACTAATCCTACTTACATTAGTCTTAAATAAAATAACGGATGCACAACAGACCCATGAGTCACTGAAGAATGCAACAACAGCTCCACCTCTGAATGCAACAGGAAACCACACAGCAAACAATGCCTCAAATGCATCCAGCAATTCAGTATACAGTAATAATACAACAACTCAAAGCAGCTCGACAACCCAGATGACCCCTACTGTTTCCACGAACAATACTTCAGGAACCACCCTGAGCAATTTGACAGTCACAGCATCAGCAGAACACCCAACTACAACAGAAAATGATAAGACAACCCAATTGGTCACATCTTCAACAACCACCACCAATTTAACAGCAGTCGCTTCCACAAACAGCACGGAAAAGGCTACATTGTTAAGCACGAAACCAGTGACCGAAACAACAGCGATAACTTACACAGTTCCAAACAGCACACATTCTGTCATCGACTCTCAGGGTTGGTTTAAACATAAATCAGCAATAAAAATGTAAAGCAAATAAAGGTGTTTACCCTCCCTAATTATTCCCGCTTTTACTTTTTCAGCAGGTCTGAATCGTTCAGAGCAGTCTCTGACCATTTTTTTCAGCGTTCTCCTTGGTCTAATAGTTTTGGTAACTCTGGTACACTTTGTGTACAAGTTCAGTAGGAGCAAAGAAAGAAGTATCCAATATACTCATCGCCGTCTCCAGAATGATGATACAGGTAAAGTAAAACTGTTTATGATCTTATTAGCAATGTTAACTAAATAAAGTCCACACAATAGTCTAGAAATAGGTTATATTCTAGGAAAATCATTCATTTTCAACACTATGCCATCAGTCATGCACATTTAATCTAGAGTCTAGTTTTCAGTCATTAAAAAGATGTAATGTTCACTGAAAACTAAGAATAGTATTGTTGTCTGTATATTACATTCACAGGTGAGCCATTTGCAGTGGCAGATGACACAATGGTCATTTCAGGAGGACTCTATGACGGCCCTCAGATTTACAATCCCACCATGACAGTCCAGAACGAGGAAGAATTCCAGACAGACGCATATGGATTTGCTTCCAGACCCACTCAGTTCCGCTTAGAGTTTCTGAGAGAGGATCAAGACAAAGCACTCGACCATGAGACCTCCACCTTTCAGACATTCCAAGCACAAGACCAAGAGCCTTGAGATCTCAGCAACAAACCACTTTTATTAAAGAAAACAAAATTAAAAAAAATCTGAAAATGCTACTTTAAAATGAAGCATCAATTTCAAGAGAAGAACAGTTTATTTTTTGTTAAATTCAACTGTTAAATTGCATTTTTTAAAATCTCCAAATTGATGAAGTCACTGAACAACAACAAAACAATGTAAACAAAGTATTTAACTAACTGCGACAGAACAGGTTATTTAAATAAAGATTTTAAGGTACTGTATATTAAACGAAGATATTACGGAGAAAATGTTTACTGAAACCTTAGAATAAATAATGTAAATGTTTTTGCTCACTCAGCAGAAGCTGTAATGTTTAACAAAAACACTTTCAAGCAAAGATTTTGTCTGTTACTTTTTTTTTCTTCTTATCTGAACGGCTGACGGTGGTCCATCCAGCATCTCGCATTCGCTTTATCGCAGCCAGTTTCAACGCTGTACCTGGAGACTTATTCATGAATGAACTCTGCACCTGCACCTGTACATCATTTGCACATGTTGACAGTAAAAAAAAGAATGATAAAAAGTCAATGTTTAATAAAACTGTTTTAATGTGTGCTTCTTTTTACCTTGTTAAACATGTCCAGGCTCTCTGTGTTTGGATCTTTTGGCTGCATTGGTTTCTTTGATTTAACGGGTCTTGGAGAGAAACTCTGTACACCAGATATAGTATATCAAGAAAGAGTAGCACAAGCCACAAACCTAAATGTCAATGTGTAGGTAAGTTACTAGTGTTAAAAAATTACCAGTATATCATTGCTGTCTGAGGTGTCTGACTTCGGGTCCAGCTTCAAAATATTTTTCTTCCAAGACCCCATAATCGCAGGTGTGGGAGGTGTGCGAATTCGGAATGACTGAAGCAGAAAATAGACTGGCTCATATAAACGCCTAAGATGAATGATGACTAGCGTAAACTGTTCAGGCTGCACCATACCTTTATTTGAGGCGTTGTTCCAGTTGCTTTGCTCCGGGTCCATAATGGGTTATGAAGGACTTCCTGCACTTCTCGCTTACATCAATAATAAAACAAAGAAACTGTTAGATGGTAGAAGTGAATAATATGAACATACAAAATGATAATGGAATGAAACCTACAGCAGGAGTGCAAGATGCATTGCTTGTTGGAGATTCATTTTCTTCATCATTTAAAAGATCGTAAACATTCCTCTTCGTGCAGCTAGCTTTAGGTGTTTTGGACATTTTGTTTCTACCTTTCTTTGCTTTGTTGTCAGTTATCTAAAACAAGATTTTTATATTTCACAGTTCTCTTTCAATTGCCATGTACACATTTGGTATTTCAACTGACAAGATTTGATACCTGCTGAAGTGTGTCTTTTTCACAACGTGACACTGGTGTCTTCAGGACCACCTTTTCTGCTTTTAGCTTTTCAAGTTGTTCTCTCAGCTCATCATTCTCCACTTGCAAGTGGGACAGCTCCAGTTCCTAAATTTAGAGGCATTTATTAGCAGTTATATTTTCAATCCCAAAACTCTTTATTATACCACTAAAGCAGGGGTGTCCAAACTCCATCCTAAAAGGCCGGTGTCCTGCATAGTTTAGCTCCAACTTCCTTAAACACAATCTGGAAGTTTCTAGTATAGCTAGAAAAAGCTTGATTAGCTGGTTTATGCATGTTTAATTGGGGTTGAAACTAAAATATGCAGGACACCGTCCCTACAGGTCGGAGTTTGGGCACCCCTGAACTAAAGAATCTAAGTCCTGTTATGCAGACTTTATTTGACCGCCACAAAAACAATGTGGATTTATGAATAATATTTCATAATTGAATTCTGATTACCAAATTAAATTGCAAGTTGTTAAGTTAGGCCATAAAAAGTTCAAATAAATACCAGTGAGGCTTTGCTTGCATTGACTTCAGCTTCTTTCATTCGTTTTTCACTCAGCTCTGCATCTTTTTCTTCTAACATTTTGTCATACTCATGCTGGAAAAAAGGGAAAAAACATAACAAATGTGTAAATGCTACATATTTTAGAACTTCAGTGAACATAAAGGAACTTAAAAAAATGAAAAATACCTTGTGCCTCTCCATCAAAGCAACCATGTCTGATATCTTCTGCTGGCATTTGATTTCGGTCTCATCTTTATTCTTCAATGCTTCCGTGGCTGTTTGCTTCAATTTATGCACCTGCAAACAAAATATTTTAAACAATTTAGGATCACTTTATGCTTCTTTTGTAGGTACTGCATTACAATAAAAAATAAAATAAAATAAAAAAAAACACCTCAAGGTCGAGTTGTGCCTCAGATGTGGATTTCTCATGAAGGTCTGATCTTATTTTCTGAAGCTCCTCGTTGTGATGTTTCTTTACACGATCCAAATCTTCCTTCAATTCCTTCACCTACAAGAAGAAATGTCAAATATTGTATAATAAGGTATATAAAACACTCTTACTGGATACCATTTAAACAACAGTTGTGACCATGATTGAATTAAACATGATCCATTGACCAAAATAATAGTAAGTAAATGACATACCTCTTTCAGACATTCTTCGTGAGCTTTTGTTTTGGTTTCTAGTTTTGTTTTAAGATTAGTCAGCTAAACAAAAGATAATGACATAATGATTTTGAGCACAACAGTGCATATATGCACAATTTAGTTGTATATGTTTTCTTTACTTTTGTGTCCAGAGCTTTGATTTGCTTGTCTTTCATCAGAAGTTCTTTCTTTGCACCTTTGCCCTATTGGAATTATTAAACATGAATTGCTGTTAGACGAAATACCCTTCCAAACTTCA